GCAGATGCACGCACATGCGAAATAGAAATGATTCTAGTTTCATCTGACACACTGGTAGAATCATCTGAATTTAGTTATTTCGTTTTCAAATATCGTATTTTTAAATAGTTAAATAAAGGCTGTGAATTTGACGGACATACGCAATTACATATGTATTGAAAAAGTCACATTTACAGATGCAAATACATATCGTATAAGAACACCTTAAACATACATACATACATAAGTAATCGATCCCAAAACATTGTATGCTTACAACTCAGCCTTTAACACTTCTACGGAAAACTTAATTTCTTTTAGTTCTCTACTGCTTTAGATGATTTTGATTTTAGTTTCCCGCGTAACTTTTAACCAATACCGATTTCGTTTCTACCGAAAAATGCAATATTCTCTTTGCCCTTTTCGCACAAACACTAAGAAGAGGGCGATGAGAAGGCAACATTTTTTGTAGAAACGAAATCCCCATAAGTTATTCCATTTTTACACATAAATCTTATTTTTTTTTATTTTTCTCTCATTGAAAATATAATAATGATTGTATTTTTCGATACGAAATTGTGTGTTAAAAGTAGGAAGAGTGGATTTTAAAAAACATATTAATCAATAAAGCAGAAAAATCGATATTCACTTTACCTGACGTTGTAGAACTTGTAGACCAGAGATTAGAAGTTAAATTGAATTGTTTAGGAAAGAAATTTCATTATAATTCTCAACTAGTAGCTTTCCCGGCAGGGGAATGCATTTGTTATGAGTTTTAGATTTTATTACTGTTTAGTATGTAATCAGGATTCTAAAATATCCCAAAAAATGCATATTCAATTGCATACATTCTCCGTTTACTAGGTACTGCAAAATTGAATGCCTTACTTTTTTGGGACATCGGCGTGGAAAAACAATGCATTTTCGAATGTGAAAACGGCTGCTTTACTGATTATGTTTCGTCGATTACCATACATTACATTTTCCCACTGGAACTAAATACCTTATAGTTAGTATGCGTGTGGTGACAACGAATTATAACTCGTATGTATTCCCGTGGGAATAGGAAAGCCAAAAATGCCCGACACAGATGTAAATCCATATGCAATGCGAGATTTTGAAAACACTTCGAATATTTCGTAACCAATAAACTCATAACAATGGACAAATACAGGGCGTTGCTCCATTTGTTTTTGCTGAAGTTGTCTGTCTGTTCCTACGTATTTGTTTATTTGTTTGTACAGTTCCAGCGCACCAGGTGCACCAATGTATTTATGCGAAGAAAGCACACACAAATATGCCGCCATTAGTCCCTAATTGGCATCTCGTAAACATCAGCTTGCTCGTGTATTTACGGAAACACATACACATTTGTATTTGCTTTGGTTTAAAACAAATGCATGCTCGCTTAATTGGTTAAATAATTGTAGCTGATTTGGCTTGTTTGCATTGTCTGCATGCAAATAGGCCTATTCGCAAATTGCAGGAGAGTCAACGGATTTAGAGCTGATAATTTTTCAGTGATAGGTCAGCAAAAATTTTCTGGCAATACAAACAGAATGCAGATTGAATGCTTTCTGATGGAAGGAGCTCAGATCTTACACATGCATACATACAATAGCTCGGCTGTTCCAGTTTTCCAGTTCATGAATTTTATGTGATACTTCCACGCGACAGTAACATCTCTATGACTATTACAGGTTTCCTCATCTCGCAGCTTACATTTCCGACAGGTTCACTGCTTCTACCAAATGTGAATAAGATCGATTTGTTGAAAAAAAGCAGAACATTTTATTTTTTAAATCTGGTTTGCAAACTTTCCTTTAAATAGAAAAATTAGTCAACCAACTTGGAATTTATTAACCTTATCAAAAAGCATATAGTGATAAATAAAATATCGAAAATCATGAAAGGAAGTATTTTTTTGCGAAATCCTACAAGCGTTTCTTAATTTCGTTCGTCTTTTTCGCTTACTATCGCGATTTAAAACAAATACATATCCATTTGTCCGTCTCCACAGGAACTGATATAAAAAATGTTGTTTATTAATTACGGATTAAGAGACAAGAAAATTTTGTTTTGAAAGTTAAATTGAATTTGTACTTATAATAAATTCGCTGTTTCTGTGATAATAGAACTCATTCGTAGGAAATATGTATTTTCGTAATGTTAAAGGACCAGGCAGCTTCGGTAAATTGCGACTGCGAAACAAGGTTATACTGCTTCATTTGTAGCACAATTTTTGCCAATGGCGTTCGGTACATTTCTATTGGGCCAAACGATCCTGCCTTCTATATTGCTTCCTCAAAACGTGAGGAATTTCGGGTGCGCTTGAGTATTTTTTGAAATTTTTTTTATTTTACGAAATTTTTTTAGGAATTTTCTCTTGAAATATTTGCAGATAACAAATGCAACCATGTGTGCTTTCCGAAATTTTATAAAGAGCGAAATGCACCACACAAGCGGCTTGTCAAACATTCTTCAAACCTACCTTTCCCATTTCGCCATACCCCATGCAAACATGACTCGTTCAAGCAAATAATTTTAGTTCTCTTCTAGTTCACAATCTAAAAGAGTTTGGTTTTCTTCGATTTTTCTCTCTTGATTTTGAACTTGGAAAATCTCGGTAACGAATGGTGAGAACACGTATTGTTCGATCATAAGGATATTCGCATTAATTCTTCATTAGATCCAGAAAATAAAAACTCTAGATTCATATAAGTTTCCCAATTAAAAAAAAATTATATCTGCATTACTAATATAGCCCTTTTCTATTGTTACAGTAGAACGTATTGGCATAGTTGGTGATAATTTGTTTCAACCGCAAGAATAAATGTAGCAATTTAATTGGGGAATGTAATTAATTTTTATACTAAGTACCTGTAAATAATATGCAGTACACAATACTCACATCTTTAATAAGAAAATTTTGAGTAATTTGTTTGAATTTTGAGGATTTTTTATTTCATTTTGTGGAATGTGGTAATTTTTTTTTTTGTGGCAACACTATTCCCATGATGTTCTACTCTTTTATGTTCTCAGTTAAGCATCGAGTTTAGACTCTGGGAGTTTTAGCCTGTTTTGGTACTGGTACTGGAGTTTCCATCACCGCTTATGGTTGATTATACAATAACTTCTTTTATCATAGTAAAGTCCTCCTCCTCTTCCCCGTGAAATCATTAACCTGGCGCTGGGTGCGTCTAAAGAAATCTAAAGAGACTTTGTGCGCTGGTTGAAAAGCTTACTACTCGAGGACATACGATGCTTGGTGTTTTCGCTGCAGGCCTTCCCTGTCGTTCAACTTTAATGAGAGGAAAGTTCTTTTGGACCTGCTGTATCAGGATGTTCTATAGCATTTATCAGGGCACATTACTCAATCCATCGTCGGTTCAATTTGGGAAATCGTTATATCTGAACATGAAAAGCTAGAAACTCTCAGGAATGTCCAAAATAGCTAATAATAAAAACACTCCATTATTAAGAAGATATAAATAGTATTTAGTGTAAGAAACATTGAAGTCTTTAAACATTAAAAGTTGATTAAATTAAAAAAAATCGGCCCTAGAGTGCGTCGCTAGCTACCGTTCTGATTGCACGTCAACCAGCGAATGCCTCTCACTCGCAAACTGTAGGGGACATAACGAATATTTGAAACTCATTATATACGGGGTATTTTTGATACGATCGGATATTTACGTAATGAGTTTTCGTACGTATTTTCTACGAAAGTTAATGATGTCGGAAGGCTGTTTAAAATTTCTAAATCTTCAAAATTTCGCAGAAATTGTTCATAAGAGTTGGTAATTCATTATTAAATGTAAGTTTGCTAAATTAGGCTCTATCGTGGCACATTCACAAAATTTTTAATTTATGAGAAGCATTGTTGCGCTAACCCGGCAGGATTAATCAATTTGGCTTATGAATTTCGCAAAAAAAATTACTAAATTCTATGAAAAAAAACTTCAGGATCAATGTGTCTCATTGCCGGAAAAAAATATCCAGCAATTACTCCAGTGCTGTTTAATTATTTGCTATTTTCATTTTCTTCGGTATTCAAACTGTAGATTCTTTGTGTTGATTTTTGTAGGCAAGAGAAAGACAGAGATAAAGATATAGTACAAGAAGGAGAGTATTTCAGTTGTGAGTAGAGCGTTAACAATGCTAATATACAAACCACTTTTATAATTTACTACTACAAATTTACAACATAAATTTTTAGTTAAAAACTACGCGTATTTACACAGCTGGCAGAGATTACAATATAATCGATAAAATTTATCTAAATGCCAACGCTACTCTTTTAATTTTTGTATGTATTTTTTCTCCTAAATATTTATTTGCTAGTTTCTTGACTTTATTTTTTTGGTTAGTAAATATTTGATTTTCATATTTATTTGACTAAGCTGGTACACTTTTATTTAATAGTTTTAAATAAATACATATATATGTAGCTTATTTTTTCAATATTTCTTATTTATCAATATTTTTTTAGGGAAATTTTACTCAAACTTGAAATATGTACGAGTTTACATTTTGTAACTATCTGTATGCCGTTTGTGTTGATTTAATTTGTTTTTTTTTTTTTTTTNTTTTTTTTTTTTTTTTTTTTTTTGTTTTCCCTTTTCTCACCATATTTACTACAGTAGTACCACACATTAAGCACAGTAATTTATGCATAGAAAATCTATAAAACTAAATTTACAAATATTTGTGTAATTAAAGTTAAATGCAATACAATACAATAATATACAAAAATTCGACACGTGAGGCAATGGAATTTTCCTGGAGAACTCCGATTTGCCGCACTCGCCTAAAAATAGTCACATATAAGTTGTTATTCTGATACTAAACACATACACATATGCACATATGAGTTGGCCTGTTGTTATGCATTATATGTACATATGTAGATACATACATATATACATATGTATATGNTAATTAAAGTTAAATGCAATACAATACAATAATATACAAAAATTCGACACGTGAGGCAATGGAATTTTCCTGGAGAACTCCGATTTGCCGCACTCGCCTAAAAATAGTCACATACAAGTTGTTATTCTGATACTAAACACATACACATATGCACATATGAGTTGGCCTGTTGTTATGCATTATATGTACATATGTAGATACATACATGTATGTATAGGCATGCTACTTACTTATTTATAAACTAATACTATTTATATATACTGTTATATAGAAATGCATACACTTGACGCTTAACTTAGTTAGCTTTTGCAAATTCTTTGCTTACAGCTCTTCTCTGTTTTCTGTTTTCTGCTTTTCTGTTACACTTTCGCGCTTTGTTTTGGTTGTGTAGATGTGTGTGTGTGTGTGTGAAAAACTTCCACTGGTTATTTTTTGATTGCTGGCGTTGAGACTGTGTTGTTGTGAACTGTGATCGGGTAACGGTAAATGGCAAGCTCGTATAATATAGCAGGCCGCACGCACGTGCCAGTAGGTGTTTTCCTATCTGGGCCTACGTGTCGTATGAGTGACATTCACTCGCTCACATACTGGTAGGTACCTGCTGCATACCTCTTCAGCTGTCGCAGTGTATGAACGTTAATTTGTGTATGCGCTTCTCTTTTTTAGTTCATTGCTTAGCGCATACATATGTACGTAGGCGGCAATTTTCTATAGTTACTGGCCTGTTTTTTCTGTTGTTTCTCGGTTACCTGCTTTGGTTTATTATTCGGTTCTTTGCGGGCTTTCGACTTTCAGCTTACAGCTTACAGCTTACAGCCTTTTGTTCAACCTCAGATTTAACCTGACATCATGTGTGTTTGTTTTTGTTGTGTTTTCATGCTGTTTTTCTAATTTAATGTTTCATATTCTACTTATACTTATGCTAAAGTGTTTGTTTCTCTAATGTCTATGGATACGGTTGTCTATATAAACTTACATGGTTAAGAAGAAATGTGCTTTTGCTTTTGTTTGTTGTCGTTCAGCTTTACTTCTTCGAACTGTTGCTTTAGTTGCTGGTTCAATAACGTTTCTTAGTTGAGTTGGCTGTTTTTGACACGAATTTTCCATCGCATGCCCTCCATCGTCTGCATCCTCCTCATCCAATCGAATAAATCTTATTGATTCAATTTGCTCCAACTTTTGTTTTTCGTGTTCTTGTTGTTGCCTACTTTGCTGCTGTTGCTCGAGCTGTCGATTATGTCGCTTTTGGTGCTTTCGTAAATTAACATGTCATGTGTTATGCCCTCCAATTATTATAACACTGAATAACATGGCCAGTATGCAGGCTGTGTAAGCTTTTCGCACTGGGGCAGATGAGGTGACAGCTGATGCGGAGGACTCACCTGTTAGGAAGAGGGAAAGAGAGATAAAGAGAAGTAAATGAGAGAAGTGTAGAGAAGTTATGAAGATGTAAAATTAAAGCAGCTGCCAAGTACATCTTCTTATGGAGAATGTGCTGTTTTAATCAGGATAATAGGAAAAGTTTACTATTGTGTGGGCACACAAAATACATATGAGATAGCTGATGCAGCTTATGCAATGCACATATGAGCTGTTCACTGCACAAGCCGACTAAGTTGCTTTTTTTTTTTGTTGAAATTTAAGTTTCAGGACTTACTACAAACATATACTTAAATAGTGTTAAGTATGCACAAATTATCGCCACCTCTTCTGCTATGTTGTGTAAAAATTTCATATTTCTACTGATTACCAGCAGCTTACTATATTAGCTATGAATTAAATTTTACTTTGGGAGTATATCATCGCTACAATGTCAAACTATCGAATATGAAAATTAGTACTTTTCAGGAGAGCAAAGAAACAGTTGTAAAAAATGTTCTTTCATAAGGAAAAAGTGTGAAATTCGCCACACTCAGAAAAAGGTTTAGTTATAATTACCAAGATTTGGTTATAGCGACCCAGTGGCATAGTTGGATATGGCGAAATAAATACCTAGTTCACGAAAGTCTGCAATTTACTTGAGACTTCTAGTTGGGACAAATGTATATTTGTTAATAATTACAAAACGACTACCTTGAGTGGACAATATTGTTAGTTCAATGAAATCATTGTTGAGCAAATATAAACAATGCTTTGGTTGATGCAAGTTTTCAATTAATTTTGTGAACTTGCTGTAGACGAGAATCAGCTAACCGTTTGTTATTGGAAAAAAAGTTTCAGTTTGACACAAATAAAAATTTACTCGATGGTTGTTGTGTTTAGTTCTTTTATTTGCATATATTAAACACTAGCCAATGCCCGGTTGCTCCGCGGCGCCTAATAAGATTTTTTGCGTTGGCCAATACAAAAAATAGCGTTAAAAGCAAGGGCGTTCTGTACAGTACTTATTTTTAGTTTAAATTGAAACAAATAAAGAGCAGAATCTACACATAGGCCAAGAATAGTAGCGCTGTGATACCATATGGAATACTAATCCCTTTCGATGTCATGAGTTTTACCGATGGTCTTATTTCCACCTGTGAGATCTCTGACAAGCGTGCGTAATATTCTTCTATGATCTTGCAATTTCAATATTGGTCCGTAAATCATGAAAGCCAGTAAGACGACAGGATGAAACGTTTTCCCGTACATTGACTAAATGAGTCGTGTTATCTCTGAAATATCGTTTTAATGAAGCTATTGATATANCATGAGTTTTACCGATGGTCTTATTTCCACCTGTGAGATCTCTGACAAGCGTGCGTAATATTCTTCTATGATCTTGCAATTTCAATATTGGTCCGTAAATCATGAAAGCCAGTAAGACGACAGGATGAAACGTTTTCCCGTACATTGACTAAATGAGTCGTGTTATCTCTGAAATATCGTTTTAAGGAAGCTATTGATATACCTACCGTTTTCCTTCTTTTACGGATGTGGTCGAATCTCTCCTTGTCAATTTCCCACTTTTACAATTTACCTTAATATTTATGAACTGGTTTCTTTGAGTCTTACTGCTGTACTAACGGCCGCCCCGAGCAATTTCGTCAATCGGAGGTCGGTGCAAGATCGAATTTAGGGTGTATGAGAGCGTCAGGCAAAGGCGTGCTTACACAATGTTGCGATCTTTACATGCATACTTAAACGAATCCTTCATTAAGCCATATGAAAAGTAAATTCGTCTAAGACCAAACCTCGTGTGGGTTTCTATGCAACCTGTCTTTCTGCAAAACCACTGATTGTCATGAAATTACTACGCATTATGAATTTCAATTAAATTTTATAAAATATACAGGGTTCAGTTTTAGGAAACGAATATTTCATCATACAGGTAGCTCACTTTGCGAATTTTAACGAATACGACTTTTCCTTTTCCTTTGCGTACTAAACTAAATCAGNTGATTGTCATGAAATTACTACGCATTATGAATTTCAATTAAATTTTATAAAATATACAGGGTTCAGTTTTAGGAAACGAATATTTCATCATACAGGTAGCTCACTTTGCGAATTTGAACGAATACGACTTTTCCTTTTCCTTTGCGTACTAAACTAAATCAGCTACACTGAGGGAAATAATGCATAGTAAAAATGAATACTTTATATTTGATTATCGTTTCAGAATGTTCGTATTTAAAAATAATATTTTCATACAAAATTTATCACGCACGTATTTGACTGTTCACATCTGAATATGTATATGTAAGTGTACATACGCACCCCAAGCATGCAGAGCGCCGCTCTGGGAGCGGAGACAACACACACATACATACATAGTAAATACATGCCCTGCAGTAAATCGCACTAGTTCAGAAGTATCGCAGAACTAGCTCTTTAAGAGTTCTCGATCTATCCCAACGCAATGCTTTCAACTGTCTCTTTTTACATGGCGATGCCCTAAGAAGTGGAAATTGCCACCTCTGCAGAATTTTCGAACTAGTTCTGAACTGGTTCCATTTTCGACAGTTCTGGGACAATAAGTTTTTTATGAGAAAAATTTTGAGACTAGATTACCGGATACTTTTTTGGACAGATCTGCGAAAATTAGATTTTTATAAAAAAAATTTGATTATTAGATTTTTTGATATTTTTTAATTTTTCCTGTTCTTTTACAGATTGTATTTAATTAATTTTTTTTTATTTTTTTTGTTTTATTTATATTAAATTTGATCATTTTCTCTTCAATTTTTAATCGGCACTCAACAATTTAAATTTATTAAATCTGAAAATCAAAACTGCCTCCACCGCGATTTGAACTCGCGACCAACGATATTAGAGTCGGAGGTCTTCCCGCTGAGCTATTTTAGTATTGTACGAGAAGTGAGAATTTACTTCTCAACAGAGCAACTAGCACACCAAAAGTTCAACTGTCCCTCGCTGCAGCCGTTTTGCACTAGTTCAGAGATAGTTCTAAAATGTATAGGGCGGAACTAGCGCTTTAACAGACTGTCTCTAAATTTTACTGCAGGGTGTTTATCCGTACAAATCGCGTGCTGTGGTGTTGATGGATATTCAACATTTGAAAGCAAATTTACATGGCTGGGTGTAGGTGAGTGAGCAAAGATGCTTGCCACAANGATCTGCGAAAATTAGATTTTTATAAAAAAAGAGATGGTCGGGTTCGGATTCCACTGCAGGCAACATGCAACTAAAATATTTTTTTTTAGTTTTTTTGTCATGATTATTCACTTCACGGATGCTTTTTCAGTACGAACGCGGACATTTTAATATGCGCGTAATTGATTTGAATATTTACCAATATACAGTATTTACTTTCGTTGACGTTTATAGTAAGATTAATTACGTTTCTATTTGATTTTAATATTTTTTCCCACAGTGTATTTAGCTCTTAAATTACGTTGTACTACAAAGGCAATCCCCTTCAATTAGGTTAAAAATGAACTAAATATGTCGTTAATTGAATTGCCTTCACTGCCTCCTATATTTCTTAAAAATTTTAAAAAGTATAATTTTTTCACTTTTTTATAATTTTTTCTTTCTCATTTTAATTTTCATGTGACGCGGACCTAAAGGCTGACGCCTATGTAGCCTGTGATTAAATCCGGCTCAGACCAAGATTCCAAACATTGGTATCGCTGTCAATGTGTTCTGCAGGCCAACTATGGATTTTTGTAGGAGTATTGCCATACATACATATTTTACGGTGTAATATTGTCTTTGCCTTCTTATAATTTGGTAAAAATATTCTTCGGTTACCGGAATGCATAAAATGTGATAAGAATGTAAAATTGTCTCTGAAATGTTATTACCTCTGCAGGATAGATCCTTCGGTAACATTTGGTACTTTTAAGGTTTAGTTTGCCAAGTAAATTTATAAAAGGTACGAGAATGATTCCACAAATTTTCCACGATTTTCATATAAATTTGATATCAACAAAAAGTCCCAAAGGCAACGAAATTGTGATTATTTTAGTCATTAAATGAGTAATTGAAAATGTAATGAAATGTGGGAACGCGCAATGGGCATTCATTAAATAAATATTGGTGGTCGCCACATTTTAACGGCGGAATTGACAGCTAACGACGTGGTTGGTACACTCAGCTAAAAACTAATGAATTCCCGATAAAATGCTATGAAATAAATTCATTCAAATTCATAAAGAGATGTAACAGTAGCGTTAGGTGCGGATGGCGGCGGGGTGAGGATAATAAATATGCGCGAAATGTTTAATGGCATGTATGTGGAAATTGTAATAACATGTAGCTAAACATATGCAAATCAGATATAAAACTAAATAAATAATTTATTATTTGGCTAACCAATTGAAAAATTTAAGTGACACATTTCTAATGTAAAAATGATGGTTCGCAAATTGAATGCGGTGAACTAAATTTTGCTTAGGCGAGTATAGATTAAACATTGGTTAGGCGTTGATTAAATTTTTATTTTGGTAAAAGTTGAAACTCATTCACATTGTCTGCTGGAATTAAACTTTGGTGGTAAGCAAAATATAAAGGCCAATAGATTGCATTTTAGTTACCGATATTGGCGAAATTAAATTCGATGCCTTAATTGGTTTTTATCTTGTAACAGAAACAATCATTTGCGAAAACCAATAGCAAAAAGGTATTCAGAAAACAAACGAAGCGGAAGATAACTACTACAAAGCATACAAAAAAAAAAAAAAAAAAAAAATGTTTGCTTCGTTCATTATCAGCTCAATTCGTCGCTAATTAACAGTAATTGTTGGCGATTTCACTTTCTGCCAGTTCTACGACCATTGTCTAGGAAAGGAAACAAAATTGGTTTGCCATTACAAAAAAATAGCAACTTCAATGGGGTCTTTTTAATTACTCCAACTTCAGTTGAAAGGTCTGATTGTTGGCATACAGTGTGCCATTGTGGCGTTGGAAAATGACTTCACTAGTTCAAATCACTATA